AAGAAAAACTGTCGGGGCAGTCAGCTTACATGCTAACTGGTGAATGCTTCTGTAAGTTGGATGGGTAAATTGGAATATGAAAAGATCAGTGCTATCGGTGTGGCCTGGTAGCTCAGCTGTTAGAGCATGAGCGTACATAGCATAGGCGGCGCCCATGCTTGGGTTCGAATCCCACCGAGGCTACTGAACTTTTCACAATCGACATACAAACTTTTATACAAAACTAATCTTCTTTATAACTATTCTAAACAAACCGGATTAAGCGGCTACACAGTGCTTCCAAAGCTTCACAGCAGCGGACATTGCCGGAGAAACAACTTCAAACCCATCGCTTCAAAGACCACATGAACCAATCAGACAACAAACTCATGCGTTATTCCGTGCTCACCTAGTCCGGACGAACCACTGCTGTGATGAGATTCATCGGGGGACCAACCACTGTCTTAGTGACTATGATCAGTGTTCTTCAATGAATGTGAATGGTTATCACCAGTTAAAGCAGAGAATTATGAACAGACTCGCTTTCAGTGATTCATACACGTTCCAAATCGTGTTGACGCAAAACTATCGGCTGAAATCAATTCAGGTAACTCAGCTAGTAGAGCGTGCGCTTACAAAGTGTAGGCGGCGTCCGTGCGTGGGTTTGAATCCCACCGGGGCTACTGAACTTTTCACAATCGCCGTACAAAATTCAGGTATCCTTGGGGTGGTATTGAGGGTCCGAAATCTCGTACGTCAAGCTTGTATTCGACGGGACTTGGAGAAAGAGTTAATCCCTAAAACGAAAATATCAAAGTTCTTCCCCGGAAGCGGGGGGGGGAGAGGAGGAGGTGCTTTTTAAATATATGTGAAAGCAGTTCACGGAGCACGATTTAGGATCCTTCGTTTTGCTATCACCACAAAGGAAAACAATCTCACCGGAGGTGATTCAAGACCACATGATATGACAATCCCGAAAACACCACAAATAAAAACAAACGCGAAATGAAGTCATGTGTCTACGTATCTGCCGTGTCTTCCGCTGAAAGCATGTACGGAGCCAACTTTGATAGTTTCTGATTTCACATTGGTATTATCCTTTTGCATAGCGTTATTTCGATNTATTTCGATTTCTTTTTGATTAAAGATTTTGCCCTAAAAATATCAAAATCATTCTGGCTTTAAATCTAGTTTCTTCATAATAAAAGTCCAAAGTTGGTACAGTTAAAGTGATAGTTTTCCTGTGCGATCACAGAATCACGGATAAACCTGAATAGTAGAATGAGGTGACACTGCACCAACTTGGTTTCGATAACTTCAGCCTAGAGAATAAACTGTGGAGTCGAATATGATCGAGGAAAGATCGCCAGCAAGTTCTGACTGTCGCATAGTACTCACAAGTCATTGTTGATATTTGGTGCCGGCAGGCAAACAAATTTGGTTGAAATCGATCATGCGAAAAATATCGGATGAAAAGGACTCCATACGAGCTGAGTGGATGACAGACAAGAGTGCTCAGAGGCGTGCGTCATATGCTTCCTAGTTGTCAAAATGATTTGTTTCTTTTACCGAATTCTGACGTGATGAGAAATGGATCCATCAAGGTGAACATAAGCGATTACCGTGGTGTCGTCTTACTTGGGTATCCAATGCCTTTGTGCAAATATAAATCATTTATCGGAAATATGTAACACACCTTTGTACAATGACCGTCAAGTCCAACTTGCGTTACACTACAGTGTCAAGTGAAGCGCTCAAAAAACGATACCTTCTAATTAGCTCCTACGCAGTGAACTTAGTTTTTATAACAACAATAATACGGTATTCGCTAGGAAATTTCTTTTCGATATATCGCATCAGGTGTTTACATATATAAGGTGATTATAGTACAAATATCTGATTGGCTGATTAGAGCTCAGTTAGTGACGACAGAGGCGAACAAACAGAACAAACGAATATGACAAGGCGAATGATAGTCGTGGATAGGGGTGAGTTCACAAATGGACAATGATTGAGAGGTGAGCAGATTGAATGAAGGTTGTGAGCTAAAACAAGAGAGCCGGATGAAGTTACGTAATATACGATAGAAACTATAGGTCATGCATAGAAAGTGATATAATCAGGAAGGGACATTATAGACAAAAACAAGATAATAAGTTCTTAAGATGGAGGTTGATGATACTAGAGGAGGAAAGGAGGTCGGGGAGGGGGGGGTTGATGCTCTGTTTCTATGCACAATCAATCCGCTGTCCAGGCCAGGGCAACAACAGTGTGTGGACCAGCTTATTCTGCTTACATAATTCTGGATTGAAAATGCGAATTGCAATCGCCTCGGCCGTGGTTCAAAGGCGCCTTCTTATCCCCTTGGAATATCTCCAGCGTATAGCGTGAATAATTTTGAATGCATCCAATTTGTTCACAAAATGCCCGCTTATATATGTAAACGCCTGATGTGATATATCGAAAAGAAATTTCTTCGCGGATACTGTTTTCTACACTGTCTATGGGACTATTTTACGATTTAAAACAATAATACGATATACTTCACGAAGCCCTTGGAGTATTCTACTGACCTGTAACCTGTAAATATTCATTATGTTTTATCTGCAAGCACTGTTGCTGTACCCTTTCCGAATTATTCGTGCGTAATCTGCATGCTTCTCAATGTAAACCGAGAAATATACTACTAATATTATTATAGCACCGAAGCCTACTTATGTTCATTCTACCGAGTTCCTTATACATTCATAATCAAGGTACGGGTGCCTTCGTCCGCATGTCGACCCCGATGAGGATGACATCACTATTCCCAGCCAATGGATGATATCCAGCAACACCGATTATATCCTTTTTCCTTTTCGAGATTACCAGATCAATAGGAACAGTTCCTTTCGAGCTCTGGACCTCGTTCAGAAGGCAGCTTGCTAGAAGAGCGCCCTCATTTTCATCCGGTCTAAAAAGCGATCCTCCTGACTACCTTGAGAGTACCTACCTGCCATCCAGTCCGTATCAGGCGAATTAAAGTTGTCAACTAAGCACAACTTCGTTGATCTTTGAACACAGAGGTCTAGTGAATCAATCAGTGCCTGGTCGTCAGTGATCCCATCCCCGGGGCACTGGTAGACACGCCATCGTAATTCCGTTTTCTGTTAACAACAGAGTTACGGCACGCATCTGGACACTGTGTAGGTTTATTGAGACTTTGCAAACCACGTACACTATATCCTTCCTTATGAGGAAGGCTACTCCTCTTCTTCGTGCTATAGGCCAATCCTGTCTCTGGATAGCGAAGCTGTCTAGTACTAAACCTGGTGCATAATCATGGTCTTTAAGCCATGTTTCCCATACAGCTATTACAGCTGCATTTAGGTTACATGTTACTGCAAAGAGTTCCATCCACTGATTTCAAATACTGTGGGTGCTGGCTACGAGTAACTTACAACTTCCTGTGCACGGGTTTTCGGAATCTCTGCTCAATTTACCTTGGACCTCGGGCGCAGTACCTGAAGAGGTAGCAAGTATTTTAGCGACTGTTAACTTTCATATGTAAATTATAGTTTCAAGTCCATGGGAGTTTCTTATGGGGTAAATGTCTTCTTTATAAGAGTGTTACCTGCTACCTCGTCTCCCAGGAGGATAGGGCTGCTCTCTCCTGTCTTAGTGACGAGACAACTTTGCCACTCTATGACTACGTAGATCAAAGTAGAAAAAATCTCAATTATTGTCCATACCTGAAACAAGAATATAGGTGATAAATATAAGGAAACTCAATTTGATCATGCACAAATGATCTTAGTGCATCGCAATCGGCCAGTGCTGTATTTTTAAACCGAATTCTGTAGCGATGAGAAATGAATCCATCAAGGCGAACATAAGCGATCACCGTGGTGGTCTACCAATGAAAACTTACTTCTAAAAAGCTGGAACTAATAGCGAGTGTCTAGTTGCCTACACCAGGGGTCATCCATTATGATATTATAAAAACTCGTTAATCGCTAATGGTACAGATGAATCAAAATCAGATGGATTAAGGGTACCATAGTTTGAGGAAAGTATTTCCTATTGTTCTATTCTATCGTTCAGTAACGTCCAATCTCACCCCCACTAATTCCTTTTGAAAATCTACTTGATTTATGGTTGAAGGTTTTACATCTCCCTTTATATTCACTGTACCCTGCTCTGTTTGACTTTTACTTCTCTTTATTTGACTTCAGTTCCTTCGATGTTCAGAGAATTTTTCTCCCAGTGAAGGATCGGATTTTGAGAAAATTGTACATCTAGTCTTCCTACAATTAGCTGAGTTCCGTTTGCCAGACCGTCAAACCGGTGACTCAAGATACCCAGCCCTGGAATATGAAATCTGTGTTGATACTATAAATGAATAGTTTATAATGAAACAAGTTCCGTATTAATCATACACCTATCAACATTATTGGAAAAATTTTTACAGTTGGCAACTTAGTAACTTACCTGACCCCATAAAAGATTGAATCAATAGGGACGAAATTAAATTGGAAACAATATCGTTGGTTTCATGTTGAATAGGCGTTTTGTTCTTGCAATGTCACCAACATCCGTGGAGCTATTTTGGTGTCTTCAATCCACGGGATGCAAATCGAGATTGTTCCGCCTGTAAAATATGAATCCGTTCTTAGTATTGACATTCTCGTCTCTCCAAAACCATTTAGTCCTCTTTATGGAACAAAGCCACAAGATAGTATACACTAGGGGATACACATTAAGATACTCCAAAAATACGCCGTGAAAAATCGATGATCAACGGCGTCCGGTGTGATTCACCAATTCGTTTGTTTCAAGCTTAACGCTCGTCTGGCGCGCAGCTGAGGACGGGAATTGGTATTCAGACAGTCACGTGATACGGAAAACAACGCCAACACCCACGCGGGGTAGAGCGAGGAACAACGCGAACCAATAGACCAATCATTGGTGTTGTCGACCGATACAACACACGATTAGACGGAAGACGGATTTATTCACCATTTCGTCAACCGTGGTGAACAATGCGCGTGTTTGTCAAGCGTTTTGAAATTGATCGACGAGAGGCTCATGTAGATGCGGATGCAACGGTGGCAGACTTGGGCAATGAAGTGAGAAAATTGTGGCAAGTTCCTCCCACGCATCAAGTACATGTGATCAACGGAGATATGGTGATGAATCCGTCAGATAAACTGTCGTTCTACGGCATCAGAGATGGATCAATATTAAATGTTGATTTCACATCATTCAATTGATTGTATTTGGTCATGATCTTCTGTAATGCAAATGTATTTTCACAAGGTTGAATGCTTTTGTGTTTCTTTGTTTCTTGGATATATTTTTCACAAGGATATGGGGAAAATGGGATTGTATCGCATGATAATTTTGAATGCATGCAGATAGATATTAGCAAACAGTACTGGGTCAATTTGCTGGGTTTCGTCATTCCCGTTCGCAATCTAGGGAGAAACACACCGGTTGCGAAATGTATGGATTTGCCTGGCCTTCATCTGTCACCACGACAGCCATGTGCGTTTATATACGTAACCAGTGTAACTGTGAGGCATAAAACTGCTTTGGTAGTGGCATGAATCAAGTCCTAAGCGTGATGTTTATGATCGTTCCATTTCGTCAGTGATGTCCCAATATTTTTATTGAAGTAAGACCTGATAACTCGGTCAACTTTGGTGAGAATACCAGCTTTAATCTGTGTATGCTAAGATAGAGTAGATGTTAGAAACCCCATATTGCTTGAAGGATATCTTACCGTCATTGCCACATGCAATTTGGAAACTCCAGTCAACCAGTACATATGACCAGCGATTGAAAGCTCTTAATATCTTTGAATGTTTACCACGCAAGCCTCAGGAATGCCCATCATCTGCCAACATACACAGGTGCATACGTCCAGAAGAAAAGGAAACTGATTCATAAATGGATGTGCCACGTCAGGAATTGACATTCGAAACTGCACGTAAGCAAGTGAGCCAAGTAGAAACTCGAGTCCCATTTTGGAAACTCGTCATTATCGATTAGAGGACATGATGGCTACTCCAACCGAATAGGACGGTTGCTTTAAATCACAATTGGTGGATCTCACCGAGCAACATCTCTCTGTCCCGATCCGCCAACATTGCTTATGATCGTCTGTGTGTGTGTGCGAGTTTAGCTCCAACCAATTTCCGAGTACATGACGAAATTGTATGTACAATCACTGAAATAAAGGGAGAGATCGACACAGACAAGTGTGAGAAACCCGACCCAGTGATTGGGATCAATACCGTTAATTAATGTCAATTAGACTCAATCTTCCTAAACGGCCTTGCATAGCGAAGTTCTGAAGCTGTAGGCATTCTTGTAATGTCATTTACCAGGAAGCCGCAACGCTTTGACCATTTGTGAGACGTTTATCACAAAATGTTTTGTTTCCTATAATACTAGTGTCGATAGACCTTTGTTTCTCTTCACATTGTATCAATTCTTATATGCACTGCATTTGGGCTACGGTCTTCTGATCAAATATGTTAACTCGCCCTCTGCACATTGGGGTTTTAATCAGTAATGCGAATTATCCCGCATCCAACAGATTCATTCTAATACGCATGACCGCAGATGTGACGGGTCAACACGTTCCTCATTTGACACCGTTTGACTGACCACAATTTTTCACTTATACCGTGCGAACACATAGTCCGTATTTGCGTCGCAATGGCTCTGTAGAAGAAAAATAATCGTACACAACCGCATTTGTGATAAAGTATTGCATAAATTGTTTACTGTTTTAGAGCTATGAGTTTATAAGCTTCAAATCAATGATATCGATTTTCGGATCATTGTATTCCAGTTCATGAGAATGCAGCTCATCCTATTGTCACAGGTAGGACCAAAATCCAAGAGTGAGTTGGCTTCTGTACCCATTAGTGCGGTTCATTAATGCCTGTCTATCACGTAACACTGCTTGATGATCCGACACATACATGCAAACAGACAGACGTGTGCTTATTTTTCCACGTGACTACACTATTATTTTTGGCGTGAAAGGATAACCAAGAGCTTAGTTCTTGCAAAGCACAATGAAAGTGTTTTTCGTACATCATGAGATAGACAAGCGCAAAGCGCACATGCATAGTGATACTATTGTTGATGATCTTCGTGCAAAAGTGAGAAAATTGTAACATCTTCCGAACGGCACCAATGTACACATTGTGCACGAAAACATAGCTGTTACTCCACATCGTCCACTCAATTTGTACGGAATCCAAGATGGATCGATTTTGAAAGTTGCTTTCTAGACCACCTCATTCTTGTCCCCACTTCGAGTAATTTCTGACCCATGATTGTGATTGCTTAAAATTTTACCATAATCCAGCAAGCAATAAACAATTTTCCAAAACGTATGTTTCATTGGTTTCACATAGTGATCAAGGAGTTACAGGTTAGATTAACTGGGAGAAGAGTGAATGTTCACTTTATGCATAGCATTCCGTTATTAGTAATATTTGTCTGTTATGCAACGTATTCTGTGGAAACATATGTCATTTTCACGGCATATTCAGGGTTGAATGGAACTCATTCACTGGGACGATCATGCTGATGGGAACTCGAGTGAGGATGAATCCGGATGAGGACTCGGATGATGATTCTAATAATGATGATGATAACATACACGACAATACACCTTACTCAACAGAAGTTTGTACTTTTCTTCTATCCAAGTCGAACCAGTTTAGGTGATTGCAAATGCTGGCCAGTATGGATTTCGTCAAATTGCACATAGACCGTCCGAAAACGTTTCCGATTATCAGGTGGGTATTTTAATTTCGTTGTACCTTTGAGGTCTCATGTTTGATCCCAAGTGTTGTCAGTCAATTTGCACCGCTTTTGGTACCCAACCAGGTGGAAGCACCTGTATAGAGCTTTCTGGCGCTTTGAGATTACGCTTACTTTTCTCTGGGCAAGGCGAACTCCACCATATCACCAACCCTCGTGTCACAAACACATTTTCCAGTTCAAGGTCTTCCATATCAGAATAGACGGTCCTAGATTTTCAGCTGTTTTTCTCTACAGCACCGCCAGGTGGAACCAGATGTGTGTATCTTACATAAAGTTTGACTAGAGTGCCGTTTAGTTGGTGCAATACGTGATCAAACCAATACTCGGTTGAGTTTGATTTTTCGGCATTGACGTCACAAATCTCTGTCTTATACGCTAACCATAAGCACTAGTGCTTCAGTACCTCGATTTTTCTCTCGAGTTTTCCAACGTGCAGCAGTAACGTGTTAAAGAATCAAGTGTGTGAAAGCCTGGTGGACTTGGATCGTAGTTTGAAAACCAAGTTCCATTTGCACCCCAGCGGATGTGTTATCGATTCGATTTATTTTCGGCTAGTTCACTAAAGTGGGTGAGAGAGAGAGTGAGTTAGATCGTGGTGTAGTGTTCCCGGGTGTCTGTGTATGTGTGTGAGGGTAATAGGGTATTTCGGGTGACAGAATCTTTGTTTCGGTCGTGCTGATCTTCCAACCGATAGTGCATTCGCTATGCACTTTACACAATAAAATAGCAGTAACAACACAATCCAATTTCCCGTGCTGATTGCTTCAGTTACCTCTAACAATACCAAGCTATGAGAAACGATTAGTCAAATGTTTTTGAATACTTTCAGGTCAAACCGATATCGCTGTCATTAGTTTCAATGAAACAAGAGAAATGATAGCAACATTGATGAGCTGAGTTCTAACTGGTTCTATACCTTTTCAACTTCAAGTGAATCCGTTGTAACTTCAAGTGAATCCGTTGTAACTTCAAGTGAATCCACCGTAACTTCAAGTGAATCCGTTGTAAATTCAAGTGAATCCAACCAATCGCACTCCATTAGAAACCCCGACAAGATGATTGGTGTTTTGGCCGTCAAATGTCACCGATTGGACCGGGTCCGTCTAAACCCCCTCCAGTTCGAATGAACTAATTTCTCGGTAAACAAACAAAAGTACATTTTTCGCGAGTTACCGAGCAAGGTTGATTGTTTCGGTAGGGTGGTAGGTGGGTGGGTCGAGGTGGGCCGTTCTCTCCCCGCCTCCCCCACACACCCGTTCCACCCAGGAACGTTATGTTCGTGATCGTTGATCGAGTGTGCGTCATAGATACGAATGAACTAACCCGGAGTCAACTGACCTCTGTCGGT